TTGATTATTATAACAATAGAGTCCTTTAACTGAGGGACAATTAAAATCTTTTGAGATGATCTTCAATTACTACTTTGCAACTTCGCTGGGTAAAACATAGTGCTAGTTTATTTTTATTCTCTTGTGAAAGTTATTTTCATTATATATATTATTTTAATGCATCCGTAAAAGCTTTATGTTGGTTTTGGACAAGTGATATCTTTGTATTCATCTTTAACAAATGGGAGAATATTATTATAAAGATACCTTTGCCTCTTGTAATCCAAAGGAAGTGTTACATTAAAATAAATGGAACCTTGATCTCTTTTATAACTTCAAAAATATCTGTTTTCAATGAATTAAAGGTCCATTAGCTTTGACAACACCAGGATTAGATGCTTTGAAAAGAAAAAATTGACATTTTTGCAAAATAGTTTTGATATCCAAGTATTGGAAACCTTTTTTACACTCATACCATTGAGCTCTATTTAATCCTGCTGGGCTAGATCTTTTCACCACATCTACGATATGATTCACACAATCTACAGTTGTTTTTCTGTATAGTTTTTAATCAAGCAAAATTTCCATCACATCTACAGTTGCATGGTTCATTAGAACTAGGGTAATAAATATATTATAGGATAGACTTTTATAACATTTTTTTTTTTAAACTATTTTTTAACGCGAATGATGTTTACCTAACTAAATAAATTAGAAAAAAAATTTTCTTTCTTCTTATGAATGACATAGATTATAAACAAACAGAAAACCAACAAAATTTAATTGAAAAAGGTGACGTGTTTTAAGATGTTTTTTAAATAAATAATATTAGCGGTTTTAATTATTAATATTGATTAAAATGTTAACTAGCCAAAAGTTCCTAAAGACAACTCTTTCTTTACTTGCTAGGTTGATTCGAACAAAGGCTCAAAAATTTTAAATCTGGTATTAATTTTTAATTACATCGATTATTATAAATTTACAACAATATGAATCAATACAAATTGTCAAAATAAATTGATATGTATATACCACAATACAAAACATGATGTGGCACCTGAAAATGAGAGAATTTTCAACACCCTATTAGGTAAGAGAGAAAATGAAATAATTATCTACCACCATTCTTCGATTCATTGTAATTCTATTCAACAAAGTCAAGACATTGGTTGTATAGAAGTGTACTGATCACGAACTTTTGTCCATTTATTAATAACTGAAGACGCAGTCAATCTATTATAACACACCTTACCATCTTTCTTTTTCTCGAAATCTCTAATGAGGAGTTTAATTTCAATGACCCGCTTATCCCAAAATTCTTGTCAACAACATTGATGATGGAATTTGTTTGTATAATAACTTCTGTAACCGGGACTTTAATGGAATTTCAATGCCCCTATCATAGAACGAGATTCATTTATAGAGAGGAGATATTCGTTCTCTTTTGCCTCATGTTTATTGGCAACATGCGTAAGAATTGTTGTACCAATTAAAGAAATGTCCAGAGTCACAGGAGCTACAGTCCCTGGCGAAAAGAATGGCGGACAGATTTTTTGAGATTACACATATAATTTATTATTAACCAAAAAATTTTTTTATATATACAAGACTAACACTAACATTACATTTTTTCTTATTAAATTAATATTTTGTGTGGCCTCTTTCTGCATCGATACATGCTTTAATCCGGTCTCGCATGCTATTGATGCATCGAAGTAACACATCATTATCAAGATCGTCCCATTCCTGCCTAGAAAGTTCCCTTGCGAGGTTTATTTCTTTTTTGCCACCATATCCTTAACCTTTCTCTCTACCTTTTTCTTCAAAACAGCCCATAAATTTTCGATAGGATTCATGTCTGGACTGTATGAAGGCCAATTGAGAACTCGTTCCAGAAGACAGTCTTCCAAATCACTTTGAACATCATCACGCGAAGTGCGTTTCGGGTCATTATCTTGTTGGAAGACCCAGTTATGATCATGCAACACATTCGCATTATCATATAAATGTTCATTTAGAATTTTTCGATATAAATGGTGATCCAGGTTTTCAGTAAATAAATGCATTCCAATTTTTCCCTTGGCGCTGATCACTGCCCAGACATGAGCTTTATATGGATGCTTTACCATAGGTGCAACAGGTTTTGCATTCGAGACCATGAAAGAAGGGTATTGCGAAACATCTGGATCAGAAAAGACAAGCGATTATCTTTTGCTTGTTGGGTGAAACCGAGGTTTTTAAGTTCACGACGTGTAGTGCGTTCACTGATCTCAAGTTCAGGATCATTTTCTTCCAATTTAGCTTTAAGTTCGTCCGCCGTAGTGAAATGATTGTGTTTCAGAATTTTTCCGATACGGCGGCGTTTTTTGGAGGTCAATTTTCTTGGACGAACAGAAGAGTGACCTACAGGAATTTTGCCGGTTTTGCGCAATAAACCGATGTAACGCTCGCAGAAGCATAGAAGAATCTCCAATCGTTGAGAAATTTCCTTCGGATTGCGAATGTTTTGTTGCCAGAGTGACTTAACAGAGTTTCGTTATACTTCAAGAGAGGTTGGTGCCATTTTGAAATGTAAAAACAAGATGCAAACAATATTAAACATCATTGACTAAATCTATTTACTGCCTATTGAAGCCTTTTGAAGCATAGTGATTTAGTAAATTATAATTATCATATTAATATATATTTTGTTTTAGTGTTATTAACTCTATTATTCCTTAACATTAAACGAAATTCCGTGCTAATCAGCACGGAATTTGGAATTGCGCAAAAAATAGACCACCACAACATTTCTTATTTAGAAAATGATATTCAATGCACCCTGCTTTTGTTTAAAAAAAAATTATCAGGGGTTACACGTCCCAAATAAAGAGATAACAACATAAAAGTTCCCTTGGAATTTTCTTTGCCGATCATTTTATTTAAACACAGAAATTCACTTTTTTTAAATCCGGTTTAAATGAATTCCATATCAAAAAGCTTGGCCCAAATTTTTTATAGCCTAAATTGGTCTAAGTAAACTTGTTAATTGGAATGCATATCTTGCAGATTTAGGCATGGGTCCAAAAAATAAATTTTTTTACTAATTGCAACTTTAAAAAAATAAATATTTAATTTTTGGAATTTTGAAAAATACGCTTACTTTGATATCTAAAAAAAAAGATCAAAATCGAATATTTGTATGCAAACTCCATATCTTTGCTTATCGAAAAATTAAAAAAAAAATTGGTGGTCAATTAGTAATTTGTTTGTCTAGTAGGGTCTACATTTTTTTAAAAATTCCGTGCTGATCAGCACGGAATTCTTGTACGTTTAAGGGATTATTATTACTATTATAGTTCATTGAAAGATAATATAACAGCTGGTTTAAAAGGAATTTTATCAAGTCGCCAAATAACATATTAACATTATAGAAAAATTTTAATAGTATATATTTATGAGAAAAACTATACTTGACCAGTTAATTAACCTGTTAATATTAAGGTTTCTTGGCTGATTCCGAGGAACACCAAATTCTATATAAAAAATAAAATATTTTTATCAGAATTATTATCGCCAAAAAGGTTAATGTGATTTATCTAAATGGCAAGTGAAGATCGCCAACATTTTTTATTTATAGAGAGAGATATTAATATTAATATTGGGTAGTATGCACCATATAATGAAACGAAAGGAAATCACTTAATAATGTAATGTGTGGGGGGGAGTCCTTCCTAATGACAAATTTTCCGCAATGCATGAAATCAGAAATGTGGAACATCAATTTAATCTTAGCTTAATATTAATATTAAGCTCTTAAATATTATATTATTTATTTATTGTTTATTGTTTTTATATTATTAATTATTAATTAGTGGCAACAAAGAAGAAAAACTAAATTAGCAACTAACTTAATTTACTCTAACATAATAATAATTTTTAATAAGTCTTGATAATAAATAAGGGTTGTTTATTATTATAATAGTATTAGTATACATTTAAAGGATACAATCTACGAAATGAATGCAATGCGATGCAATAAAAATCTCTTATAACAAAAATAAAAAAGGAATGGTTAAGGGTGTTTCAAATTTCGTGGATGGTAATTGGGTAACGGAGGTAAGGAATAAAATTCCATTCGGAGATCAGATTTTAATTAGTTAATCTGTTAAGTTATTGTGCTAACATTTGTTTTGATGAGCAACTTGAACGAGTAATAGTTATATTAAATACCTTGCTCATATGTTACTATATATACTACATCACAGATAATTAGTATAATAATTGTTTAATTAAAGTTTATTTTTTTAAAATAAAAAGTTGAATTAAACGTTAAAACGGTACCGTTCATTGTGTATATAAATATACTTTAGTATTTTTTTTTTTTTCTCAAGAGTAAAACAAATTTTATTAATGTAAAAAAAAAAAAAAGAGTTTATTGTTAATATTAATAGTATTTTCCTTCCTTCCTTCCTTTTTTCCCTCTTTATTTTAATTATTTAATTTATTCATTCCTTAATCCACAATTTTTGATTTATATTAAAATAAAAATAATGCCACCTTGCAAGTAAGTAAAAAAGTGCGCGCGATAGATAATTCGAATGAATTATATTAAATATTTAATTAATAATACTATTAATAATAATAATAATAATAATAATAATAATAATAATAATAATAACCTCAACAACAACTTATTATTAGTTGGCCACTAGTATTAGAATCTAAAGAATGTGATGGATATGAACTATTTTATACAAGTGGTGTAATATCAATCATATTATATTCAATGTCTTCAATTTTGGTTGCCTGCGCATTATCTTCGAGATTCACAAAGATAAAAAACTTAACTAATTTTTCTTCATTGGAATTTTATTTACTCTGTTCGTTCATATTTTGTTCGTGTAAGTTATTAACTTTATAATTATAATTATTAGGATTTTAACAAATAAAACTAATATCTTTTATTTTTTAATTAACATGTGAAAAAAGTAAGAGTAGTGACTGTATCGTATTCACAAAATTATTTTGTGGCTTCGCCAATGTTTTATGAATTGTTATATTGTGCTTCTTGGATATCAGGAGAATTCGCAACCTATTCATACGTTTTTGGAATATTAAACACTATAATTAAGCTAAATATGAATACTGTTTCAAAATCTTCATCAAAAGGTGTTGTTTCAAGCCATCACAGTGATGAATATATTACTTATCATAATAATACTTATAATAATAACGATATCCATGCTAGTTGCAGCAATAGTAACATCAGTAATAAAAAAGGAGCTTTTATTCCATCGAAAGGCTTAATCAAAAAATCATTTTTTCTGATTATCACTATTTCATTAATAATATTAATTACATCATCGATAATAAAAGGACATTACGAAGTCAAATATTTTAATTCTACAAACATAATTTACGAAACAACATTGGCTTATAATATACTAACGGTTACAGTTTACTCGATAAATAATTTAATCTTGGGAATTTTATTAACTTATTATGGAAGACTATTGATTAGATTAACAAAGGAAAATTTAATGTTGATTGGATTTGATGATTACGAAGAGTATAATAGTGGCAACAGCGATAATTATAAATATAGCATTAATTATAACATAAATAGAGCAATACTCTCTCAAAAACATGCACAGATCAAAAAAACATTTGAAAGATATATAAGAAAGGTAATTTAAAAAAAAAAAAATTACTTTTTTTTTTATTTGGCGAAAATTTAATCTAATTTATCAAAATATTTTTGTTTTTACAGGTCACAATACTCAATTATTGTCTGATAACATGTTGTTTATCGCCTTGTATCGTTCTAATGCCACTCATTGCTGGATTATTATTAACATCTCATGTTTTATTAGCAAGTGTTATTTTCAATTTATTTACTAATATTTTTCCGCCGTTTATTGCATTTCTAATTTGTTTATCAATTATTATAAGGTAATATAATAACAATGATATTATTATTTTAAAATTTTAACCGTTAAATTATTATTAATAAAATTTAAATTTTTTTTCCGACTAGTGAATCGAACAATAATAAAAATGAAGAAAAAAATATGGGTAAATAATATATATAATACATATTTCAAGATATATTGAATGATCATAAATTAAAATTAATTAATTAATCAAATTAATCAATTTTTATTTAGAAAATGTTCAAGAAACATTTGCATCAGATGCACCGTCGTTGACTTTTTCGTATGGTGGAACATGATATATCTCATAATTTAAATTTCTTTCATGTATTAATATATTGAATATATTATAATAAGAATTAAGGGTAGAGTCAGCGACGTCATCAATAATATAGAAATGTGTGATTTTATTAATATTAATAAAATTTTAATATGAGACTAATATTTTTTAAAAAAAAAATAGATTTGTATATCATCACTATGTTATATAATTACACTGAAATTTGTTTTGATTTATAGTCACTTTATTAGTAAAATAAACCTATCGACAATAGTTTCTAATATAATCCAAATTACCGGTATAGCAAATGTTTCATATTGGCTTTCTTTTGCGGTTACTCCATCAACATATCAATAATATATATACCAACAATAAATATATCACGACTGTAAAGTACCTAACGTTAATAAAAATAAGACCTATTTGTCCTCGAATATCTTCACACCAATTAGATCTGACCATTCTTAACACCACCATATAAAGGAAGCATATGTATGTATGTGCATTACATAAAACACAGTCCACTCTCCTTATAATCATAACGGATCTTTCTATACTGGATTTTGCTTTATAACTGACTCTATCTCTACGTATACTGGATTGCACTGAAAACCATTTCATATGACCTAGTACTATATATTAAATAAAAAAAATCAAACCTTCGATTATTTAAAATAAAAACACGATTATTTGAATAAACAATGATATAAGACATGGTATAATGTAAATTATATAGAGAACAAATAAATTGTAATATTATTAATAAAAATATTTTGCAATATTATATAATCGTTGAGTTCTATTATTAAAATCACTATAAATTGTTTTTTTAAAAAACCAACTTTGATTTTCATATAATTGAATTTTTTGATTTGTTTTAAAAAGATAGGTTTATTTAACAAAGCAGATAACCCCAATTTCAACAAACAAATTAGTGACAACTTGGTCAAAAAATATTAATTTAATTCAAAATACGACCCTAATTAGACATTTTTTTTTTGTTTTGTTAATATTAAAATTGCACGTGACTTCATACATTTAATAACGGACGGGTATTTTTCCTTATTATGAATAATGCATAATAATTATTATTATTATTATTATCGCGCGATCAACGTCAAATATTTATAAAAAAGGAGAAATTATAAACATTGAAAGCTGATTGGTGTATTCTTTCTGTTTAGGTAATTATATATTTATGAAGAGTAATTAAAAATGTATTAGTGATGATATTTTTTTAGTTCGAGCTTCCTTTTTTGGATTTAAATTTAATCCAGAATTGTAGTGCAGTCAGTCACCTTCAAATTACTTTCAAATCATGTTGATGGGGGATATTTTTTGTGATCATTTTATGAATGGAGCCTTTGACAATCATTGCCCATAAGAAAAAATCAAGAATTTATGATTCAAATAAATTGCATAATTAAAAAATTTTATGTGCATAATTAGCGCATAATTTACTTTTATTGCATAATTGATAGTTTAGTTTTTTAAGTTTTTCAAACATTAGACTGTTCTTATTATTAGTTCTCAAGGAGTGGCAATTTTATGTAATGCATAAACTTGATTTTTAATCTAAATGTTAGCAAATTCTGCATTCATCGAATTTATTCATTCATTCAATATTCGTTTGCTTTTTTTATCTTTTGTTACACATGAGCAGATAACAAATGTACGATATATAGATTCATCACCACGTACTACAACAACAATTCACAACGAAAAATAGTATCAAAGATCTCGGATACATTGATTTGGCAATAACTTTTTTCTCGCTTTCTTTCGTCAAATCCGCACATTCGAATTGACTTCTTAAAACCTCGTTTGCTCTTCTTCAGAATATGAACCGCGGCAGAATCCTCCATTATCCTATTATTGCCTTCTTCAGTTATATTGTGGCTAAGGTCTTTTCCAACTTTAAATGGGCGGCAATTGAATCAATTAAGGTTCAAGAAAATATTGATCAACCATTAACTATTCATTGAATATTAATATCATTTTTAATTATTCAATGAATTAACAAAGATTTAATGAATCCAACCAATGAATATTATTCACCACTAATAAAACGGACGTCATATATGATAGCACAATTAACCTTAAATTTGTATGTGTATCTCATTTCAAAGAGCATTTTTAGCTTAGAAACCACATCAATTTAATATTTCATGATTTCATATATATATATAGATATATATTAATATTAATATAATAATTACTATTATTATGCCAAAATCGCATGTGACAAATCCACCCGCCATACGAAATCATTAATTATTGTTTCATTTATCAATAATGATAAAATTATATTATATTATATATATATATAGACTAATCATGACAAAAACTAGCAAAACCCAATGAAAAGTTTTTTTATTTTATTTTATTAAAAAATATTTACTTTTATGATGGCTGACCAAACAGATGTAGCTATTAAAGTGGAAAAAAAAGGAGAAACGGAGGATGGGAGGACTCCAAGCTTAGACGATTGGACAAATTTAAGAAAAGTATCGGATAAATTACCTGTTGGTCAGTAATATTTTAATTTTCACAATCGAACAAGTGAACCTCGTTCGTCGTTATTACAATGAACAATAGTAATAGTAAACCCCCCGTCACTGTAGATAATAGTAAAACCTTGCTCGTTACAGTGAATGTTTTCTTTTTTCAATTTATTTTTTCATAATTAACGTATGGAGCCGAGAGTTCACTCTGACGAGCTTTGACAGTAATATTTATAGATAAATAAGTATACATTAACTTACTATTTTTTTTTTTTATATAATAATAAAATCATTTATAATAGGTGCTTGGTTTGTTATATTGTGTGAATTTTGTGAAAGATTTACTTATTATGGAATTTCCGGTCCATTTCAAAACTACATTCAATTTCCACCACCACCACCATCATCTTCCCCAAGTGATCGACAACCAGGCGCGATTGGAGCCGGTCAACAAACTGCAACCTCTTTGACATTATTTTTTCAATTCTTTTGTTACATAACACCTTTATTGGGTTCTGTAATTGCTGACAATTATCTTGGAAGGTTTAAAACAATAATAGTTTTTAGTATTGTTTACACGATCGGATTAACAGTTTTAGTGTTAACATCAATTCCACAAGCTATCGCGTCAAGTGGTGTTTCTTTTATCGGCCTTATCATCTCAATGTTAATCATAGGTTTTGGTACTGGTGGTATCAAAAGTAATGTTGGTCCTTTGACTGCTGATCAATATACAAATACAAGACCATTTGTTAAAAAAATTGAACGAAAAAAAAATGAAACTCTTCATCAGGGAGAGAAACGAGAAGATGTCGATGATGACGAAGAAGAGGTTATAGTTGATCCGAAATTAACCATCCAATCGATATTTCATTGGTTTTATTTGTCAATAAATATTGGTGCCCTGTCTCCATTAATTATCACAGTCATTGAAAAATATCATTCATACTGGCTAGCTTATTTGATTCCAATATTCGTATTCGTACCTTCAATCTTTATCTTACTAGTTAATCGAAATAGATTGATTAAAAATAAGCCCAACAATGTCAAAGCCAGTAACAACAATAATAAGATCGAAGGAGAAGATAACAATGCCAATAATAATTCGATTTTAAATTTTTTTAGAATAACAGGATTGGTTATTACATTTAGAAGCACTAATCTGGATAATTTTAAACCATCAAATTTTAAAACATTGTTCACTGGTAGTGATGATGAAAAAGAAGCAAAAGCTAAAAAGTATAATGTAGATTGGTCGGATAAATTTGTTGACGAGTTTAAACAAGTTTTAAAAGTTTGCAAGGTTTTTTTGTTCTACCCTTTTTATTGGATTTGCTACTTGCAAATGGTTAATAATTTAATATCACAAGCTGCTACAATGCAAGTTGGCAAAGTACCAAATGATGTAATGAATAATTTAAATCCAGTTGCTTTAATGATTTTTATACCTTTTGCTAACTATGTATTGTAAGTAATTTGAGATGATATTATAATATATATATATATATTTATTTAATAATCTAAATATAATTTTTCTTTAGATATCCAACTTTACAAAGATTTAACATAATTATACGTCCAATCACTCGTATCTTTATTGGATTCATGTTGATCAGTTTGGCTATGGCTTACTCGGCAATAATTCAACATTTTATCTATACCACTGGTCCATGTTATATCAATACCAGATGTGAAATAGATGGTGTACCTGTTCCAAATGATATAAGTGTTTGGTGGCAAACACCTGTTTATGTTCTAATTGGATTTTCAGAAGGTTTTTATTTATTGTTTAAAAAAAATTAATTATTATTCTTATTGAATATTAATTTTTAATCTTTGATTGTCTAAAAGTTTTTGCAAGTATCACTGGATTAAGTTATGCATACGATAAGGTAAATATTTATATATAATACATACAATATATATATACATATATATATCAATTAAATAATAATAATTAATATAGGCGCCAGAATCATTCCGCTCAACAGTTACTGCTTTATTTTTAACAACAAGTGGAATAAGTTCAGCAATAGGATTGCTGATTGTACCATTGTCAAAAGATCCTTATTTAGTTTATATGTATTCATCATTAGCTGTATGTGCTTTTATTTCTGGTAGTTTGTTATTATGGTTCTTTAAAAAGTATGATAAAGAAGATGAAGAAGATGAAAAATCATCAAAAGCAAAATAACTAAAAAAAGTATCATAAACGAAGTAATTAAGAAGGAATGTAACTGAAATATTTTATTAAAACTAAATCACGTAATAAATAAATAAATAAATAAATAATTAATTTCTAATATATTAAAGAAAAATTATTCAAGCCAGTTCAAAACCAGTGTTTGAATCTATTGCTATTTATATTTTGTATCATATTGTTGTTAGGATGAAAATTTTAATTGGTTAGTTGCTTTGAATTTAATATTTAAAATCGCGTAAATAAATAAATAATCAATTAATCAAAAATATTTTACCATATTTAAGTTTCTCTTTCATTATAGATTTTGATGAATATGCTTTATTATTTAATTGAAAAAAAAAAAAAGTATAATTTTCATTAATTCCAATTTATGATTTGTAATTTCAACAATAGATGTATTATATTTACCTGGCAGCCTTAATAAGTTAAAACTATTAAAAATGATTAATTAATTAATTAAGTTAGTAAGTAGACCATAAAGAGTTTTTTCATCTTTAACAATCATAAAAAAAATGTTTTGTTTTACCATGTGGAACTTGTTGGTAATCTGGCTTTACTTGTATTAGTAACAGAAGTTTTTAAATTGGAGGAAATTGAAGAAAATAAAGATTTAACTTGTCTTAAATTTGATGATAAATTATTACTATTTGGTGTTGTTGTTGATAATGGTGAGTCAGATTCAAGCACAATTGATACTTTACAAATTGTAAATTTAGGAGTTAAGAATCTTTAAGAGAAGATAGATAGGAAATTAATCAGCATTATGTAATAATAATAATGATATTATTATTGCTATTATTGTTGTTGTTGTTGTTGTTGTTTATTAACTTACTTGAAACCACCAAGTGGAGGCTTGATTTGATATTAATAATAATAATAATGTTATTAATAATAAAAGTTTTCAATCAATCAATCAGTTTATTTATATCAAAACTACCTTTGAACAACTTGTAACAAATTTTAACAATGCTTTCTTATCATTGGATTTAAAATCTTCTAAAATTGACCAGAAGTTTCTTATACAAGGATGTTGATCAAAATAACCTTCTTTATACTCTGTACATCTCCTCAAATCTGTGATATCTAAAATCAACAAAAAATTGTTATTATTATTGTTATCATCATCACCATCATCACTATTATAATTATATTGTTTTTTTTTTACCCCAATCATCGTCATCTCCAGAAATAACTCTTTAATAAAAATAAAGTTAATAAAGTTAATTAAAACAATATGTTTATTTAAAAAATAAATAAAAATAACAACCTTTGTAATTCTGGCGGAGAGAACATTCTCAACCAATTTTTAGGAATAATCGATTGAAATCTGAAAATAATAATAATGATGATGATATTGTTTACTGATAATTCTTCTTACTTTTATATTGATCAATTGATCAAGTTAATTAATTAATTACCCATTAATAAATGATTCTGTTTGCTCTTTAGTTTGTTGATTTAATTTATAATTTGCCATTAAATAAATATACTAAATGATAATAATAATGACATTAATAACACCATTGATAAATTTAATTAATAAATAAATAAATTAATAGATTAATCATTAACCTGAATTCTATTATCATTTGTAACTTTAATATGTGAGCCATTCTAAATAATGGTATTATATAATTACTAAAAATGATCATAACAATACCAACAAGAATAGCATGATAGCATGAATAACATGAATAACAATAATTTACATGTTTAAGATCTTTTGAAATTATTTTATCATCAATTTCTTCATCGACGGAAAAATATAAACTTAAATCTTCAACATTTCCTAGTAATTAATAATCAATAATAATTGTTGTTTAATATATAAAATATAATAATAATTTAAATTGATTAATTGATTAATCATACCATCGTATCTTTTCAAAAACATTAAATTCTTCAACAATTCATCATTCAAGCCTGCCAAATCTTCAAGAAATACACCTCTACCAGATAATTTACTTAAAAAAAATCTAGCAAATTGTATATCAACCAATATTCCTTCTTGTATTGACCTAGCCAGCATGCATCCTAAAAATCTGTAAACATTTGCTTTGGTTATAAGCAATGATTTTAATTTAGAATTTTTGCTGTTACTACTACTAGGATAAACATATGAATTGTCTGGTGTCAAAGAAAATAACTCGAATGATGGATCAAATGCTATATATATATATATATATAATATGAAAATATTAACATAATAATAATAAATAAATAATCATCATTATAATATAGTTATTAATATTTAATATTTAAATACTAAATAAAACCTTCTGCAATTAATTGTGTCATGAATTCTTTAAATGGTCCGCCTTGGTCGATTCCTTCTTCCGCAATCCCTACATTAAATAAAATAATAATTTATAATAATAATTTTTAAAATCAATCATTTAATTAACTACTCTTGAATCCAAAAATGAATAAAAAGTTTACCCATTTCATTAACAAATTTTACAAAAATCTTTCCCTGAATACGAGCAGAACTCAATCCACCCAAATATTTAAATCCATCCTCAACCACATGTCCTCTTCTAACTTTAACTACTGTGCAATTACTGCTATCATGAATAATTGTTGGGAAAGTGTGTGTATTATTTATCTTTGATAGATATTGACGAAATATATCCAAGCGTGTCTCGAATGGTATTGTATGTGGTAATAAATTTAATATTCTTATTGCTACTTCATCATTTTTTTGAATTCGTTCTAAAAATGATGACCCCATTTTTGAACTATTATCATTACCGTTGTTGTTATTTGTGTTCAATGCTTTTTTAAAAAAATTGGCTAATGATATTGGTAATGATTTTTTTGGATCTTTAATCAACAACCAAATATTATCCTCGCCCTCCTCTTTTACTGCTATCGATTTTACTTTCCAATTTCCCTTACCACCATTATTTTTATAATTACTAATAGTAAAAGAACGACGTGTGTCTCGTGAGTGTAATTGAAGTAAAACTCTTCTCGCCAATTCAAACATTGGTGATAATGAGTAGTTTTCTGATGATGTTGTTGATGATGACGATGACGAATAACTAAGAATCAAGAAACAAAATTTATTAAAAAATCTAACCATTGGAATCAAGTCGATTTCAATTGAAAATGGAGTTTCTAATTCATAAAGTTCCTCATCGTCTAATGTTCTATTTTAAAATAAATTAATCAAATTAATCAAATTCTTTTACAAAAAAAAATTTTTTTAAAAATTTAAATAATAAATAATAATAAATTACTAACAACAATAAAATGTTACAACATTCACAAAATAATTCTAAAATCTCAATCATTGGCTCTTTATCAGGATCACGAACAATCGATTCTGTTAAAAAAATTTTCATTTTTTGTTTTGGTCCTAAACTTGACAAAAATCTCCATAGGCAGGGAACAAAATTTGGTAAATAAGTTAAATTCATGATGATTTCACGTTTTAGTGAATTGAAGATTTTCATAAATAAATTATAAAATTGACAAACTGATTGAACATCAATTGCCATTAAGGTAATTTGACTTGATGCTAAACTTGATTTTTTTTCGTTGATTTTATGTTTTTTAATCGATGAACTTTGATTGCTGGTGGTGGTGGTGGTGGTGGTGGTGGATGATAATAATAGAGAAGATTTAAAGCTTAAAATTTGATCAAAAATTTTATATAAAAAAATTCTTTGCCAAAAAATTTCAAGCTGTGAAACTAGTCGAGTAAAATAATCATTACCACTTCCATTACTTAAAAGAATTGAATCAATTTTTCCAGCATACCAACTAAATATTGGATGAAAACTATTAAATTTAGCTGACTGCTTTGAAGAAATAAATTTCTGACAATGTTGAAGTAAATTATTCATAGCTTTTATAAAATCATTTTTTAATTGAAGACTCTCTTGATCATTATATAAATCTTTACTACTAGAAGAAGCTGGCATTATTGAAAAAAAATCTAATTTAAATAAAAATAATTCAACAATATTGCCCAATAAAAAAATCGCATCATTTCCTGTCAATTTTTCAAATACTTTATTATTATTATCTTTATCAACATTACATAAAACTGAAATAATCTTATTGTGAATATTGTATCGTTTTAAAATTTCCAAACTAGCATTATCTAAAACTGATACTAGACAAGGTGTGCTCATAATATATACTGTAAACAAGCCTTTTAAATCTTTTTCTGAAAATTTTTTTTTGTTTTTTTGATTGTTGATATTATTATTACTAGCACCATCATTAATAATGACCTGATCCTTACCAATAATAATATCATTACTAGCATTGACAATATCAAATGGAAATAAACAAAATCTGATGCATGCGGTTATCCACAAAATTGACAATTGTAATTTCTTTTCATCTTCATCGCCAAGTTTCACAACTTTTTTTAATCTATTTTTCAAAACCATAATTAAATTTACTCGAAGAAATAATGCCTTATTGAATTTTTCATAAAAGCCTTCTTTTATTAAATATTCTTGAATTAACAAAAGATTTTTTGTCAATACTAAAGTCAATGATGATGGTGATGTTGTTGTTGTTGTTGAAGCTGGATCCTTGATTAAATAATTCTTTGAATCAAGAAAATACAAAAGAAATCTTAATTCTACTCCCGAAAGATATAATTCTTTGTTGTAATAAATATTATCATTCTTATTACTACTACGACTACTACTTATATTTACATTTGATTGTTTATTCAAATACCCAACAACATAATTGACAGATTGTAATGTTGTTTTTTGTAAAATTTTCAATGTTATGTTACTATAATGTTCATTAAGTAAAAGGCAATGAAAAGGTATCATTGGACTTTTATTTTGTTGTTGTGTGGTTTTTGAAGGTCTAATTGATGTGACAGTTGACAAAATCATTTTGCAAATCTGTTCAAATCTTTTAAAATCTTTATTTGGATCAAAAAAAGCAAACAACAAAACAGCAGATCTAAGAATGTCTGTTGTTGTTATTGTTGCAATTTCGTGCTGTTCCCCTACTAAAAATTCAACATCCCATAACTTACGTAAGTTCTCGAAAACTTTGCTTTTTTCTAAACGTTTTCTACACAAAACTTGAATACATTTAGCTGCTTGTGTCTTTTCTTTTTCAAGCTTATCAAGTTTTCGTTGTTTTTCTCGTTGTTCTCTTTCTGCTCTTGTCTTGTCAACAAACGATTGTTTTTTTTCATTTATTGAATTGAATGGAAACATCCTTGTTCCGTTCTCTAATACTAATAATACCTTAACATTAACACACGGTTACACATTACTATTCTCGGACTAATTTACAATGAAAAAATCAAAATAGAAAGACCCATAATAATAATTTAAAATTTGTTCGCATTTAGAGAAAAATATCTCGGAAATTTTTACGCAAAGTGGATATAATTTCTACTCCAAAAATATTATAGCATATAATGGCGGCATTAACCAAACTTACTTTTTTTTTCACATTATGGTTGTTTTCTATTGGCCCAAACAATTACGGGAACCCTCAAAGTCTTCCATGTTGTTATTTTGCGTATTTTGAAAAATGAATATAATAAATTTATAATAACCTGTTGAAGAAAAATGGCCAATCTGACTCTACACCCGAAGGGGCACACAATGAAAAATCTAGAATCTCAGGACTATGATAGAAAATTCATAAGAGATGTGGGTGGAGAAAGCAATGGATTTGAGAATTTCCATTTGAGTTCTTTTTCTTTTAAGAGATCATGTTGAACGAGCGTGTTTCAACCATGCCCAGGAAGCAAATTCCTGTTATCAACAATATTCTACAATTGGAGGAGTTTAATGTATTAAAAAATATATTTCTGCTACAAATTATAATTATACAGTCAAATTCATAGACCTGGCACAGTAAATTTATGCCATTATCGAAAGTCGTTTTTTAATTTCATGAAAATAGTATGACTTTGTAGAAATTTTTTCAAGATTTTCGATAAAAAAATCCCAATTATTATTAGCTAAAAGCTCTTCGCAAATTATACTTTTTTCAAGAAAAGATTAATTTTTTTTTTGTTCTTTTTTATTAACTGAGTAGATACATAATCTATTATATTATGTATCTACTTAGCTAGGTTATGTATCTACTAGGATTAGACTATGTATCTACTATGTCTAGACTATGTATCTACTATGACTAAATTAAGTATCTACTAGGTAAATATAACTATGACTATGATCCTGGTATGCATGTGTTGGCTCTCTTTCTTTTATATCCACGAATTCGTCATCATTTGGGTTACGATTTGACCCACGAATTCATTGTCATTTGGAGGACGATTGATCCACAAATTCGACGTCATTTGGATGACGATTGATCCACAAATTCGTCGTCATTTGGGTAACGATTGATCCGCAAATTCGTCGTCATTTGGGTAATGATTTATCTGTGGATCCGTTATCATTTGGGTGACGATTGATTCACGACTTCGTCATCATTTACGCAAAAACATATATAATAATGGTACAGAAAATTTATGTTAGTTTATAGCTTAGCTTTCAGTAATTATGTATATAGAATCTTATGTTACCACATTTTCTAAAACTCGAGCAATTAAAAATAAAAGAAATACAATCATTTTTGGAAAGAAAAAAATTTGACATGGAAATTTTTAAAAACCTACATATTAACATATATCAGATTTTCAGATATGATGATTTAATTTTATCTGATTCTTGAGAAAAAAATTTTTACATAACTTTGGATAGTATTTTTTTAATCAATTTTTTAAAGATTTGATAAAATTTTAAAATCATTTTTAATAGTAAAATTATATTATATTTTTTTCTTTTCAAAAATGATTTTTTATTATTATTTGAGCTGTATAAAAGTTGGAATCTAAAATTCTATATTTAAGTACATGAATACTAGGATCCAAATAATATAAAAATTTTCACATAATTATTATGTACGTTTTTGCGTAATTAATGTATTTGGGGTGTCTGAAACTTTTGCTAAGATATATCTCGGATAAACTAAAATTGATCATGTATTTTTTGCATCTGAGCTCATTTTACTCAATACACACATATTAATATCTGATATATTAATTTTATTTTGAAAATTCATTCATCTTAACCAACCATCTTATATATTTTCTATGATTGTAAAAATTATATTACTAATTAAAAGGACTTGCATAACACTAAATATTGACTGCTGAATATAAAATAAATCAATGATTACATTATTTGCAATTGGGTATGGTGAGAGTGGTGGATTTCGATGAGCACAGCCCTTGTAAATGCAATGAGGTGAAATACTCAAAGTGCGAATTCCTGGAGCAGAGCATCCTCCATATGGTTGCTGACTTCTATCAATTGTTCCAAATTCGATCTGAAAAAATGAATACATAAAGTGATGTTGCGAATGAAACAAATAGAAATCAACTACCATAAATGCACTAATTCATACCACTTGAGTTGGTTGGTAATTCCCATGCACTTGAGGGTTTGTTTGATGACAGAATTTATAGCACTACCAAAATACAAGACAATTATTAGGCGATGAAATAAATGAAATGACACCACAAAACAATACTGAACTGTTAAACAACGTAAAGGGGTTCCATTTTGATCCCTACTTGAATCCCAATTCCATAATTTTAATATAATAACATCTTCTACTTGATTTGGAGCCAACCAGAATTGAGTGGTCTTTTGGATTATACTTGCAAAAGTTTGGGTATTAGCCACCTCAATGATGATAGTCAGCCAAGGATTACCCTATAAACCATTACAAATTCAGATTGATCTTTGTATTCTTAATAATATAATTCAAGAAACAATACCTCAGAATCACTTGGATATTGAGCTGGTTTAGGCAGAAATTTTGGTACAAATGAAGAATCTGACTGTTTATAAGTTCCCCTGCATCTATCATGTCCTGAATTATAACAAGCTGAATACAACAGAGTTAAGTTTGATATAATAATATATGCATGCAAACTAAATACTGAAAGTACATACTTGTTGATCCAACATTATCAACTTGATCTTGATATGGACATTATGAAAAGCAGATAAAAATTGTTTAGAGAATTCACCATGAGCAATCTCATGATCTCTCCTTGGCAACTCAATTATAGTGACAGTGCCATTTTCATATTCCCAGAATTTTGATGCATTTGCTCTTTCACATTTCTTTTCAAATTCCTTGTAACTTACATTTTCTACAAGGATCATAGGCAGTCTAATAAAATGGACCAAACTTTAGCATAGATAGTGGAAATAGGATTTATGAAGCATTATTCCTTATCTTTTTTCATCAATAATTTTGTAATTTCCATCAATCCACCATTTTTTCTTTTTCATTTGCTTTGTTAATAATGACATCTTTCACTCCAGCCTCAATGACTTCAATACATTCTGCAAGCGCCAATTCATCTGCAGTTAGAGCTGGACATGGATTAGATAAAGAGGTTGAGGAACTTTGATGAGAATTCTGAGAGGAAGCAGAAGTTTTGTATTCTGTTGCAAATATCTTTTGAGAAAAGTTAAATTGTGTAGATCAAAAAAGAGGTATATTCTAACATAGCGGGCATTCAATTTTACAAATGATCAACATTAGTTTCACAACATAATAAACATATACAAAACATAGCGGGCTTTATCTGTGATTGGTTGATCCACAAAGAAATTGATTGGATAATTTTATAATATGCCGATCATTATTAAAACTTTTTAATATTGCTTTCAAGACAATAAAATAAATATATTCTTAACAATATTTTTTATTTGTAATTGGTGGTAAATAATTCAGCAAAAACATTAGGCGAAAACTCTTACTATAATTACTATGTAATAAAGTACACCTATGGTTTGAGACAGCATATCCTATAATATTGAAAACCAACGAATGTATCATTTACTCACTACTTGATATATTAAATTATTACATAGTTCTTATCTAATGAATGAAAGATATTGAATATTAGATATTGATATATTAAATCTTGAATAAATTATAAATATTATAAATTATAAATATTAAATTGTATTAAATAAATTATAAATATTAAATTGTATTAAATAAATTATATATATTATAAATTATAAATATTAAATTGTATTAAATAAATTATAATTATTAATATTTATAATTTATTCATACATTCTCACCATAGAATAATAACACCATTATAACCAACTCATATCTTCTTTTGGTTCAGTAATCCTTTACATGACATGATTTAGAACTATGAAAATAGTGCAAGAATTATGATTAACGTTTATAAATGTACCTTCTAACAAATTAAATAAAATACAAAAGAATAATTTAAATAAACGTTTTACTCATCCAAATCACTAACCAGAATATTAAACAGAACGTGGGCTATTGGTATTGTTTATGGTCCCTAACAGTTGTTAAATGATTTAATTTAAGTTTATTATTTTCAGTGAACATATGATTTTCTAATTGCAAAAAAGACTTCTATAACTAACTTCTGAATTACTTCACTTTTTACTGAATTATTTTGGCAGTCTATAAAATAGAAGGTGAGAAATCAGAATATGTTGTTGTTATTGCCACAAAATTGATTTTGGTGATGCAAAGTCGAGTTAAAGTCAGATGATGGTCAGTTTGTATATGAAACATATGTAGTGTAATTAATGCTGATCATTTCTTAAAATTGAATACCCGCTATGTTATCAAAATTATATTTTATGTGATAATTGGAAATAAGATCAACAAAAATCTGGCCAATGAAATAGTTGTTTTTGTGATCTCATCCAGAAAATATAAAAAAATTTTACACGTGTCAATTATAAGTTTAATAATAAAAAAGTGTAAAACTTATGTTGGCACTGTAAGATTTACACAATATTACATTGGCATCATAAGATTTATGCAAGTTTACGCTAAATTAATTTCCTGACGCTGCAACAGTGTCCACTATGCTTGGGAAATTATAATAGTCCAATTTTGCAGCCTGTTTCCTAAAAATTATATTTATGACAAAACACCTTTCACCTGTCCTTTTCATGGTTTGCCTGTGAATAATAGAAAAGGACAGGGGACAGGCTTCTGTGCATTCACCACGCCACACCTGTTCCATGTTAGTCACCTGCCCTTTTTTTACATTATTTCGCAGAATATCTGTACCATCACCCATCCTTTTCCAGCATCACATTCTGAACACTGATCCTTGTCTAGCAGGTTTAATATTACATAGCTGATTATAATTATATATAAAAAAAAACCCCCATCTGATCTGTTCCTTGCTGGCATGCTGCAATAGTAAGAAAAAAAATTTTTTTAAAAAGTTATTTCTAAACTACATTTATATACAAATTTTATTTCCAAATTACTTATTATAAAGAGGTTTGATTTAATGTCAACCATTCTGTTACACATATGATATTCTTTCATGATAAATATTGTCATTACTATGCATGAAATCAAAATCAAAACCAAAAGTCAAAATACTTCGACCTGAGAGATCAAAGTTGAATCAAAAGTTGAAATGGTTGAAATTACATCATACAACAAGCCGAGCATACAGAAAATTGATCAAAACTTCAAACCCTCATAACTTGTTCAATATCTGGCTATTGAATTCTCTTGATGAGGTGAGTCTAATGGGATGTAATTCGAATCACTGATTATTGAGATATTTTGGTTTTATCATAACATTACAATAACTCATTCAATCGCCATTATTTGAATCACCTTTATGAGACTATTCTAATGGGCCATGTTTTATTAAATCTGGATCACTGGTTCTCAAGATAAATAATCTTGAAATTATTAATTATAATAAATCACGTGACATGACCATTCCGATCCCCGAAATTAAATCGTTTCGACTTCATGCATAGTTTGGATAGTCAAAATTATACATGAAGTCAAAATTAAAATCAATAAGTTGACCTGAGAGGTCAAAAGTCAAATTAAAAGTCTAAATGGCTGAAATTACATCATACAGCAGGTTGAACATACAGAAAATTAATCAAAGCTTCAAATTCGCATAACTCAATCAATATCTGGCTGTTTTGAATAAAACAACCACCATTCGAATTCTCTCAATGAGATGAGTCTAATGGAATGTAATTCATAAAATCCGAATCACTGATTATTGAGATATTTTGGGTTACTGTATATATTACAATAGCTTGTCATTTATTGGTGCCATGAATATTAAATCACCATTATTCGAATTTCCTTTATGAGATTATTCTAATGAGCCATGATTTATTAAATTCGGATCACTGGTTCTCGAAATAAAAAATTTTGGAAATTATTAATTATAATAAATCATGTGATATGACATAATTTCGACTTCACAACTCAACTTTTAGTATTAGCATTACTTAACGCACTAAGCCGGCTTGGTTAATATATTAATAGAATTTTGAACCGCATAAGGCGTAATGTTTTCAAATGGTCAGAAATTTTGATGACTTGTATATACATAGTGATGTTACACGAATATGGTTTTTTTTTATAATTCATTTGTAATATATTATTAAAATTGACTATAAAAAAATGCCTCCAAGAACAAGAAGAAAACAAACATCCAAAGATACCACAACCGCCAAAATAGAACCAGTTGAAGCCAACACAAATTCTCTGAATGATAACAATACTCTCCCTACTGCCACTACTGCAGCCATCATAACATCAGAAACTGAAACTTCAAAAGAAATTTATACAGCTGAATCTATTATTTCTTCTAATTTTACCAACGACGACAACAATGAAAACGATAACAATAATAGTAATATCAATAACAACAACGACATCATTGACAGCCATAACAATGACGATGACGACAATGCAATAATAACCAATAATGAAACATCAAAAGAAACTGATATATCCAAACTAAATATTTCTGAAATTAATACAAACATCTCCAACAGTGAGATTGAAATTAATGATAATAATTCCTCGTCTATTAAAGTTATCACTGCAACTACTCCAACAGCTGTAACACCTTCAGCGATTGAAATTACTTTTACCGATGAAGCGTCAAAAGATTCTCCTAATTCTAACGTTGTAGTAAAACCTTCTGGTTTTACATGTAAAAGGATTACATTTGATGAGCCGTCGGATTTAAATAAAAATTCCAATGATTTATCTTCAGAACTGGAAAGACGTAAAAAACGTGCTGAACGTTTTGGAACACAATTATCAGAAGCAGACAAAAAACTTGAAAGGGCAGCTCGTTTTGGTTTCGCCATTCCTAATCCATTAGATTCTCAATTAAAATGTGAATATTTGAATTGAAGTTCCATCTCTGATTTCCTTTCTATCTTTCTATACATACATACATACATACATATATATATATATAACTTCAAAAATTTTTTTCTTATATTAGCACCAAGGCCTTCTTCTGCTCCTAAAAAAATGGTTAGTAAATTAATTATTTCTCGTACGTTTTAATTTTTAAATGTGTGTATTTATATTTATTTAAAATAAAAATAATTTTAGTCAATTGTTGAAGATGAAGAAAAACTAAAAAAACGTGCAGAAAGATTTGGTACTAATAAATCAACAAATGAAACAACAGAAGAAACAACAGATCCAACCATAAAATTTACAAGTCCTTTGAGTTCTTTAAGCGAGGAAGAAAAAAAAAAGAAACGTGCCGAGAGATTTAGTTCAGAGGTAAATATATTTATATATCTTATCTTAAATAAATTTTGATCAATTATAATTTATACATTTTCCTCTTTTAGTCCAAATCATTATCTAGTGTGTCCCCTACATCTTTAAATACAATTAGTGAAGAGGAAAAAATGAAAAATAGAGCGGAGAAATTTAAAACAAATGTAATTATATTTATTATTTAAATAATTTCATTGGAAATGATAATATCTTTTTTCAGTGATAACAAAATTGTTATTTGAATTTTATAGACCAATGATGAACCTCCCAGTAAAAAAATAAAAACATGAAATTCAGGATTCTTGCAAGGGAAAAAAAAACAAAATATAACTATATCAAAACGGTAATGTCTATAATTTTCTTTTTTTTCAAAAAAAATATATTAACTTGCTTTTTTATTTTTTTTGAGAGATAAATTCAGAACTTAGGTTTAATTGGATATTAGTGAAAAGTATTTATTAGTAGTATTATTGTTCATTTAGTGTTTTCTCTACATATTATTATTATATAAAAAATTTTCAATTACCTTTTTTGTTTGAAAGTTTTTTAAAAAGATTTTTTCTAATATTCTTTAAAGATTTATGTATATTAATGAAATAAGTTGATATCAATACAATTTTTATATACTAAATCTTTAAAAATATGCGTGTGTGTGTATACCACTTGTTAGTCAAATGAAGTTTCAAAAAAAAAAAATCTTTTTTGAATAAATTAATTATGAAAGGACAGTTATTTTCAAAAACTTAACTTTATATAATCTTTTTAAAAAATACACACATATATATATTTTTTTTTTATAATATAGAAATTAGACAAGATAATTTTTAAATAAACTAAATTTTTCAAGAGAAAAAATTTAATGCAAACAGTAAAAATTTTAAAATTTTAAGGTCAAGTATTATACTCAAGAACATTGGATAAATTATATTTTGATCGCTGCTGTTTTTATAAAAGCTTACACTACTAGAGAGATTTATTATCAAAACAAGTGATAATATAGCAACTGACTGATCTTGAAAAGACAATTAAATATGTTAGGTATAAATAAACCTCTGGTAACAGATAATGAAAAAGTGATGAAGACGTGGAGTGATTCTTCTGTTATGTGTCTTGAATCATTAATATATTCATTAACTTTGATCAACAAATCAAATAAAGATAAATTTATATAGGCGGATTTTTTCATGGAATTTATAGTACCAAGACTTTAAACTGTTATTTCTCCTCCAAAAATATGTAGAATGTTGATAGAGAGAGAATATGTTAATTTTTTATATTTTTCTGAATGCAATAAAGGAAAATTTTGAATGAATATTTTACAATATTCAACTTTTTTAAAATGAAATAACTCTGAGTGTTTAAAATATTATCTATTCACACATATTTGGCACCTATATTGTTGAAAATGGGGAAGGAATAACAATTTGAAAACTGTGCATTTTATTATGTACTCCAAGCCCAGACTGCAATCTCGGGCTGGTCCAAACACTCCGTTCCTTTGATTTGACGGTTAACAACCCCACCTACAAATGAACATTTTGTCATGAATGCTTCAAAATCTTTAAACGGGGAGGAATTGATTGTGCACACTGTTGCCTTTTATCCAAAAGATCCTAACGTAAAAAACAACCAAATTGTTCACGTGACCAGAAATTCATTCCCGAAAACGCTAATTTTGGCCGTTCAATTATGACATTTTTATATTTTTAAAAAGATTTTTTTTTTTAATCAGCACTGATATGTGATACCTCTTCTCCAGATATCTGTGACAAATTTGAGAGTCCTGGAAAATGAGCCCTCAGATATTGTTGTGACCGTGATGGAAGGGACGAATCAACATCACTATCAAAATAGACTCTTTCTGATTTTGTGCATGTTATCATGTCCAATAATAATTGGAGAAAATTTTTTTCTTTACTACCTTAAAGCAAAAGTCCAAATGCGAAAGAGTGTTTCCAAATATTCATTGAAAGAGAGTGCCTGACCTGAACAAAATGGCATACATATAGGGATGGGTTCAATTTATAAACTGACATTTTGACCCATGAACAGTGGCAGCTCAAACTCATGATGTAGGCCGACTCATCAAGAGAACTATCGAGAACATTTGACTTAATTTTTAAACTAGCAATTGCATCTGCGGGCAACTAACGTCACCCGATTACCAAAGGTTATGGGAATCAACATCATCAAAGTTGATAAAGTAGACTTAGTCGAGGAGATAGTCCTCTAATAAACAACTCGAACCCAATGTACCCTATTCAGCATAACCTATTGTTTTTTATTGTTATCAATTAAATTCGCTCATAAAGTAAATTTTTATTGAAATCTGACCAGTTAAAGTCTGATCTTTCAAAGACCAATACAATCCTAATGCCGCGAGAACATGAAGATTTTTATCATGTAAAATATTTATGGTATATAAGTAAAAGCAAATGTAATTTTTCCAAACAAACGTTTGCGTTCAAAACAAATTTGTCAATTTTTTGCCTTTTGAGATGGATTAATAAAGATACCACTGATAGAGCTAATGAATAATACAAAATTGCTTTGCATACTCGTGTATCATATAAATGAAAATAGTTGCCATGACAAATATTAATATTCATATTGGATTTTTTATTTTATTTAAATGAGAAATGGGTTTTATTTTTCTTATGTTGAATAATTTGCAGCTAAAATGTTTCACCTCTTGTTCTCACGCTTCCCAAAAGGTTCAGTTTAACTTAAATAGAAATAACACTAGAAATAAAATATAAATAGATGTCTAGAAAAATGTCCGAGAGGAATTGACCAATTTTTAACGTAAATAAAAAAAAATAAAAATAAACAAAAACGTATCTTGCGATCTATATAATCTTTTTTTAATTATATATAATACTAACTATTTTTGAGTCCAAGGAAATCATAATATTTTATTACAAATAAATTTTACGTGATTTGATTTGACTAAAAATAGTTGGTGAATGGAATCCCACAGAACATCGCATATTAATATGATGCAATTTTTTTGTCCACGGGATTCAAGAATATGGTTTGTAAGCAAAAAAAAAAAAAAAAAAAGGTAAACTAGATATTTAGAAATATCCAATCTAAAACCGCAAGGTAAATAAATGCCACATTTCCGTTTTCAGGTGCAAAGATGGTCATCTGTGCTGAGGAATGCACTAATAAAACGTGTGGATGTTGTGGACTCGTAAACAAAACTTGGAACTTTTATAGACGTACATTTTTCAAATGCACCACTGATAGAAATGTAAACAAACCTTGTATAATATACTTTTAAAATATATTACGGAAGAAACACAACAAGAATCGCTTGACCTGCATTCGAGAGACACCTTATTTATTGTACTTTTGTTATAATTGTTCTTTTTTACAAGACTATCATCAAATTTACTAATTTGGAATAATATGAGCGATGATCTCAGCCACAATTTATTGAAGTAATGCCATTTTCGAGTTAACACCATTTTGTTGCACACTTTATGATTGATATTTTTTATCTCAATATGTAACAACGGTTTGTTGTTGTGTAGAAAAAAAAATTTTTTTATTTTTCATGTGAACAATTTGTAAAACCTATCTAATATATATGAGCATTATGACGATGATATGATAGAAATAGTCACATACTTTACCGTTGCAAAATTCTGAAACATGAAAGGAACGAACAATACTAATTTCATCTCTTGACGTACACTTTTTAGTCTCCACAAAAAAAATCGAGTATTGTTCTTGTTTATTTATTTTCAAAAATTCAAAAAACTTGATGAAAATGATGATTTTGAAACAAAGGGGTAAAAATGATAAATAATAATAATAATAACAATAATAATAAATAAATAATATCGTCCGTCCGTCAGTTAAACACGAGTTTTTGAAAAAAATTCCATTTTTATTACTATTAATAATTTTTTTCTAATTAAAAAAAATTTTAATTAATTGCGATGAAAAGATATTCAGCTTTAACCATCACAAGAAAATTGTCAAGTGGCAATTCTGATATCGATAAATTTCTCGAAGAAATAAAATTAAATTCAAAAGATAATGATAAAACTTTAAAATGGATTCCCTATCATGAATTCAGTAATTTAAAGGAAATTGGCAAAGGTGGCTTTGGTATTGTCTATGAAGCGATTTGGCACGATGCTCCTGAACAGAAAATCGATTTAATTTGGAATAAAAAAAGAGTCGCCTTAAAGGTCTTATTTAATTTTAGATTTAATTCTAGTAATGATAACAGCTTGTCTGGTAACCTAATAAACGAGGTATTTTTTTAAACAAATATTTATTTTATTAGTAATGTATTTTTTATTATTATATATTCCTTATATTATAATAATAAACATTATTATTATTATTATTATTATTATTATTATTATCATCATCATCATTATAGTTAAGATCATATCATCGATGTATGGAATCAGGTCGAATACTCCCATGTTATGGTATAAATTTATTATTTATTCTTTGATAATAAATAAAATAAATAATTTTAAAAAATTTTAGTTTTTAGGAGTTAGTAAAGATCCAGAATCAAACCATTATACATTAGTTATGCAATATGCAAGTGAAGGCAATCTTCGAGAATATCTTGATCAAAACTTTCAAAGATTTGATTGGTGGAAAAAGATAAATATGTTAAAGGATATTGTTTTGGGACTTCAATCCATTCATTCGGTTGGTCTTGTACATAATGATTTTCATAGTGGAAATATATTACGACATGGTTACGGAAGTGATAGTGATAATTTGGACACTTATATTTCAGATTTAGGAACGTGTCATCGTCATACAACCACTCAAAATTTGTTGAATTACAAGAAATTAAATGTTTTTGGCGTGCTGCCTTATGTAGCTCCAGAAGTTTTGTGTGGGGAACAGTATACGACTGCTGCAGACATTTATAGTTTAGGAATAATAATGTGGGAGGTGACCTCTGGTGAAAACCCTTTTATAGATAGACCACATGATTACATATTAGCCAGAGATATTTGTAATGGCCTTCGACCTGAAATAGTAATCGGAACACCTGATTGCTACGTCGAAATGATGCAAAGTTGTTGGAACGCCAACCCGTTGCAAAGACCTACGGTCGGCGAATTGTTAGATTTGTTTAAAAAATTTCGCGAAATGCAAAAATTTCGTAGCCAAATCGGCGAAGCTGAACTGGTAAGGTTATCAACGTTGCAAAATAAATTTATCAAAAAGATTCAACATCCATCTGCTTTTTACACAAGTCGTTTACTTGATTTCACAAATCTTCCACAACCAAAAAATGCAATAAAAAATCATTCATTAATTTTAGAGTCTGCAGGTAAAAAAACCAAATATTATAACGTCCCGCGAGAATATATAATAACATACAGTATATATAAATTTTTTTTTTTTTTTTTTTTTTTTTTTTAAAGATAAAAAATCCTTCGATATTGTACGATCATCATCAATAGGTTTGTTGTATATTAAATTATTATTATTATTATTATTATTATTTTTTTTTTTTTTAACATATTGAAATTTTTTAAAATAAAGAAAATAAACAGCCGTTTAATCTTGCAAAATCAAATGCAGGTTTGTAATAATATTATGAATCAAAACATTATTTTGTAATTTATAATTAAGAAAATAATAATTTTTATCAGATTTTGGCCAATTGGCTGCTCGTAGACGTACTCAGAGCATCACTAGTAGTACTACCAATGATAATAGTCGCAATAACAACGAGAGATTTAAACACTCGAGAAGTTCGAGTGTAAAAGCAAAACGTCTCAGTAGAACTTTTACCAATGAAGAAATTGCCGAAGGTTAGATCAATAACATTATCACTATTTATTATTTTCATTTCTCTTGTAACGAATATCATATTAATAAATATTTTGATATTTCGTCGATAGAAATGCGACAATTAAATATGGTACCACCTTTATCAGGTCAGTCATATGGTAAAATTAATTAAACATTTTTTACTATTATTACCTTTCTATTCTAACCGTAAATTTTTAATTTTCATTGTAACTAATAATAATAAACAGGTCTTAACTCAATAAACGAAGAAAATATTTAAAAAATTATACATATATTTTATATCTCATTTATAAATAATAACATTAATACTTGTAAATATTTGTAAAATTAAAATTTTTATTTTGTTTTTATTGTTCCGTTTAAAGAGAACATTAAACTCGTGATTGTTGATGTAAGAAAAGAACAGAATTAATTTGGCGCGGAAATGATTGCGTTGTATATATAGAGTGTATTAGCTTATTTGTTAACGAACTGAGATTTTTATTTATTATAAAAAAATCGGTCATTGCAACATAATATATAATGTGAATAACCACTCCCTCCGAATAGATCTTCAATAAACTTAATCGACTATTTTATATTTTTATCATCCTTTATTATTAACCACCACCAGTGTTGTTTTTAGTATAATCAATTAGAGCTCAAATTAATGGTTTCTGACTGATCAGGACTCTTTAATCATGCTTGCTTAACTTTTATTCTTATTTTTTTCAATTTTTTTTTTTTAAAAAAATAATAAAGAACATGAAACATGAAAAAGTATTATTTTAAGGAGTAAAGTGTTGAATTCAATTTTTTTTTGAAACGCGAAACCAAGAGGCGTTCATGAAGTATTGTTTGGTACGATTCTAAAGAAGATATGCTATTTATTAATAGCCAGAGATAATTTGATCATTAATGTTAACACATTAAATAATTGCATGGTAAAAAAAGCAACATGGTTGATTATTAGAGAAAACTGCTCTTGAACAATTTGGAAACACCAAAAAAACAATTCGATATATTTGATTGTGGAAATTTACAGATGTTAAAGTGTATCTTCAAGGCTCGTATATTTAAGGCATTACAATTATTCTCATCTTCTTCGGCCCACAAAGGTTAATCTGATGCTGGCATCCCAATGATACAGTGTTGGCAATTTAACTGGCTCAAATATTTGAACCGGTTAATTAGTTAAACTTTGTTGATCACAGTTGTTTACCAATCTGCAAGTAATTTAATCAATATGCAAGTAATTGTAAATTATTTAGGTTATTTAACAAAGTTCGTTACACATCTAGAAAACAGTATCAAATATTGTATAATACAGCATATTTTTTTCGCTTGCAAATTGTATGTCAACTGCGTATAATATACATATTGATATAATATTTGATACTGTTTTCTGGATGCAGTGTTAATAACTTTAATTTTAATTATGAGAAAGAACAACATTTACTTACACCTTGGTTTAGAAATTTATCAATTCCGCACACAGAGGAACAGTACACAAGTATTATTTTTTGATGTGTAAGCTGGTCAGTAGAATGATAATTAACCTAAAAAAATTTATTTGCTCTACTAAAAAATATTTGACTATCCAACAGCCCGTCAAACCAATGGCTCCACCTCAAAACCAATGGGTTTTTGCTAATATAAACCAGGGCTGGCAGCGTAAAGGGGTTAAAAACCTAATTTAGTAACAATCATCTTGACTAAACTTGACTTAACATATATACCTTATTTAATTATATTAATATAATTTATATTATTATACACTTTAATATCATTTTTAAATTTCAAATATTTATACACTTTAATATTATTATTCAATTATGAGTTCAAACAAAAAAATCGTCCCAATTGAAATCTCTGAAGATGAAAATGAAATAATTTTTACTGACAATGAGTAAGTTTTAAATTTAAATTTAAATTTAAATATATTAATTATGCAAAATTTTATTAATAAATTTATTTATTTATTTATTTAGATTTGAAAATTATTATGAAAATGCTAATAATTATTTAAATGAAATTTCTGGAGAAGATTTAATTAATATCAAATTTCCATCAATCAGAGAAATGGAGCCAACCTTTAAAATTTCTGATCAGTTTATATTTATTATAAATCCTCAATGTGAAATGCGAATTAAAGAAATCATTAAATTAGATTTATGTCTCCCTCCTCCAGAATACATACAATATTCAATAAGAGAATTTAAAAAGTTACCAACTTTTAATAAACCTGATGATATAACTACTTATGTCAGAATACCTGAATTTGGAATAGCAGAATTTAGTGATTTAAATAAAATAATGGGTATATACACAGCAATAAAACTTCAACAAGATCTCAAACATTTAATTAATTGGATTAATTCAACTTCATTTTCTCAACCAAAAATTTTACAAAACACAATCATTAAATCAAAAAATTATGTACTCCATTTAGAAATAATCTAAATGTGAATGTATATGATTTATGTACTTTAGCAAATCAAAATTATATAAATGATTCAATAATTGATTCAATTTTTAGAATTTTTACCCATTATTATGAAAAAAATCATGATTCAGATAATAATAATTACATTTTAGTAAATAGCTATTTTTATAAATTTTTAGAAAGTAGAAATAACGAAAAAGCATATGAATATTTTGAAAAATATGCTAAAGATTTAAATATGTTAAAAAAATTTAAATTTATTTACATTATAATGAATTTAAATAATGCACATTGGGCATTAGCAAAACTTGATATATTAACTAATAGAGTTTATTATAGCGATTCATTAAAACATAATCCACCTAGAAATTTATTATCTCTTTTAAATCATTTTTTTATTCTCTACAACATTAAATTCAATCAAATCAATTTAATCAAGGAATTTCCAAATCAGCAATCCACCTTGGATTGTGGAATTATAGTTATCAATTATATTGAAAAAGAATTGGGAATAAGAAGTTTAACTTGGAGTAGAGATCAATCATCTAATTTTAGATTAAGATACTTGTGTTTATTAACTGATCACATAAATAATCCGGGAGTTATAAATTTTCCTTCTGGTATGGGAAATTTAATTAATGAAAAATTTCCACTTAAATTATATTTAAATTATTTAAATGATATTAAAGAAGATGATAATTCTTTGTTATGTTATCCACTTTGGGCAAAATCAAAAGTAGAATTGGCTGATTATGACAACAATGAAATTTGTGATGATTATAATTATGAAAATGAAATTCATGATGAAATGGAAATTTGTCATGAAAATGAAATTGATTATGAAAATGAGATTTGGAGTGATTGTGAATGTGAGACTGATCACGGAAATGAGATTGAGATTGATCACAAATATGGGGTTAATCATGAAAATAAGATAGAGATTGAGATTGATCATGAATATGAGACTAATCATGAAATTGATAATAAAATCTTAGATCAAGCTACAACACTTTCCTCTTCTAATAGTTGGAAATCACCGGATGATGCTGTAAAATACATAAAAAATCATGCCAGACAGAATGGATTTGAAGCTAGTATTATTTCTTCAAGGCCAACTGCCAAATTTTTAAAATGCCATTATTCTGGTACCAAGAGAAGTGGCAGGAAAAATTTGGATCCAAGCAAACATGTTAACAAGCTTACAAAAAAAACCAATTGCCAGTGGCAGATCAATATCAATTTTTCAAGATTTCTAGGTGCTCATATAACCAAATTTATTGACAAACACAATCATGAAATCACTGATGAAGATAAATTTCTTTGCACTAACAAATTGATTGAGCCAAAATTAATTGAAGAAATCAAAATATATGCAAAGGAAAAAGTCACACCAGCTCAAATTAAAAACATACTTGCCAGAAAATATCATGGAATCCAATTGATTGACAAAAAGTTGGATAACATAATGAAATATGATGCTGCTGATCTGTATGAAAAATTAAATGAAAATAAAAACAAAGATCCTTTGTGGTTTGTAGAGGCTTCAGTTGATATTTATACCAATAAACTTTTTTGGATAAACCCTACACAAAAAAGAAACTGGAGTAAATATAATGACATTGCAATTATAGATTCAACATATAAAACAAATACGTATAATTTGATATTATGTATTGTTATTGGAATTAATAATGAAGGAAGATCTGTAATTTTCTGTCAAGCATTGTTAGATCATGAGAATGTTGATTCATTCAATTGGTTTTTCAATTGTATGAAAAATGGTTTTCTAGAAGCACCAGGTTTGATTATGAGTGATCATGATCCTTCCTTGGAATCATCAATTGAGATAAATTTTCCAGAAACAAAACATTTTTTGTGCATTTTTCATATATATAATGATTTGTATAGAAATCTGAAGCCAGTTCTGAAAAAGATTATTATAATTTCATACAGGACTTCAAAAGACTTGCTTTTTCAATTTCATCAGTTGCATTTGATAGAATGTGGAATCAACTTATTCAAAAATATTTTGATGGAAATAATGACAATTACCTGAATAAATATATCTATAATTCTAAAGAAAAATGGGGTTGGCCATGGAGATGCAGAGTAATGATGGCTGGTGTAAAAACAACATCAAGATTGGAAGGCCTGAATGCTGTTATAAAAAAACAGTTAAATTCAAAATCAAGCCTTATTGAAACATTTGATACAATTGAAAATCGTATTCAGAGATCCGAAAAAAAGAATATAAACACCTGGTATCCCACCAAAAATATAAATCCAACCACCATCATATTTGCAGCTTACAAAGATATTATAAAAAATACAGAAAAATACTTATCTGTTTTTTGTCAATCCAGAATTAAAATCAAGATAGTTTCTTCACAATCATATCATTTCTTGATGTCTTCTCTTGGTGAAATTTTAGGCACAATTAATGACAATTATAATGATAGTGATAGTGATATTACCAATTTCATATCCACATCTATGAAAAACATTAGTGGTGAAAATTATAATGATGAAAATAATGATATTACTGCTTCCACCTCCAACATCATCCCCAAAGACACCACCAATGATGTTGATTATGATATCACTGATCTTAGAAGTTTTTCTTTAAGGGAATTACTTATTTCATCTAATGTAGAGCCATCTGAAGTATGGGTGCTAAAACACTACTTTGGACGTAGAAAACAATATGTAATTGTTTTCAATGATGGTGCATACTTATGTACATGCATGCTTCTATCTCATGAAGGAGTAGTTTGCAGACATTTTTTAGCAATTTTACGTACAAGTCAAATTGTTAAATTCCACATAAGTATGGTATCTAAAAGATGGTACAAAGAAGTGATTAATAATAATATTAATGATGAAAAATTATTATCAAGTAATGTTGTTGGTATTTACCAACAACCACAACAATATCCAAAAATATTTGGCAGTGATCTTATTAAAGTTCTAAATTCCAATCTACCAAAAACTCAAGATAAAGTTGTTGATACAAAAAAAATTATATCAAACTTTTAGATAGCTTTAAATCTATAACTCAAATAATTGGTGATGATCCTGATAAGTATGAAGAGACAAAAACCTTATTTGAAGAAACTTACCACAAATTAAAAAGAGAAAAAGAAGAAAAAGAAGAAAGGGAAGAAAAGGAGATAATTGACAATGATGACAATAAAATAAAAAATCCAATTCCAACAAAAACTAAGGGCCGTCCTAAGAAAGGCTCCAATTCTAAAAAAAATATTACGAAAACAAAAAAAAATTAATTTTTTTTTTGCAAATTAGAATTTTTTTATTATATTTTACATATTTTAACATTCTATATATTAATATAATAAAATTCTTTCCAAAACGTAAAATTTCTTTACATTATGATCAATCTTAGTTCTATCTTTAATTTTATTTTTATTATAATTTATATCTTTATTTACTTTATAATAATTGTTTCGAAAAATTCTTTTGTATACATATATATATATATATATATAATAATTTAATAAAAAATTAAAAAAAAATTTTTATTTGACACGGGTGGCTATACATCACTAGAAGCTGATGTGATTTCATGATTAGTCACATTGAAAATCTTATACTAAATTTAGAAGGTACTGTATATTGCAAAAAAAGTACCCTTCTGTATTTAGATTTTACCTTCTTCCAATACACAATCTCCTGCAAGAAGGTTATCATCATCTACATCTACCACAAATGCAACTCGTCGACTTTTCACACAACTTCTTTGTAACCCAACACCACAAATTGCTTCAGCACCTTTAATATCAGAATTAAATTGTTATCTTGCATTACCAATAGATGAAGAAACAGAACCTCTATTGTGGTGGCAGGCACATGCCAAAGAATACCCAATTGTAAGTAATATGGCGCAAGATTATCTTACCATTCAAGCAACTAG